ACTTGATGAATTTTCCAGATATTTTTCTAATATTGATTTCTCATTTAACTCATTATAATCATAGACTATACTTCATAGACTCAAATGCTTTTATATTTATTGAGATTTATTTTAAAGTCTGGTGTGGTTTTTTTTGTTTGTTTTTAGTTTTGGGGGGTTTCTTTTCTTTTTTTTGGTGGTAAATGTTCCTTTTTGAGTTCATCTAAAGGATGTGTATTCTAGTGGTTAGGGATGAAGAGTGCTGTAATTATCAATAAAGTCAAGTTGACTAATAATCTTGTCACAGTCTTCTATGTCTTTGTTTTCTTTCTGTTGCTAATAGTGGAACTGAAATCTTCAACTATAATGTGATTTTTATCTGTTTATTATTGAAATTATTTTTTTCCTTCCTATCTACCACTCCCTGCCATTTCCTTTTCTTTAAAGATTCCAATTATGTATATATAAGGCCACTTGAAATTATTCCACAGCTCACTGATGATTTACTTTTTCATGCCCTCCTATTTTAATTTGGATTGTTTCTATTGCTATATTTTCACTAGTCGTCTGATGTTATTGCATTTTAAACCTCAGATATCTAGTTTTTACTACTAAAAGTTTGTTTGGGATGTGCGTATATATGCACGTGTGTGTGTGTGTGTGTGTGTGTGTGTGTATAACTTTCCAAGTCTTCACTTAACATGTTCAATCTTTATTCTAGTATTCTAGCTTCTTGAACATATGGAATAGTTTTAATAACTTTTTATTATACTTATCTGCTAATTCTTTCAGCTTTGTCTTTTCTGATTGGTTTAAGTTGATTTTTCTCCTAATCATAGGTTATATTTGCCTCTTTTCTATGCATGATAATTTTTTTATTGGATGCTAGATGCAAATTTTACCTTCTTGGATGCTGGATATTTTTATATTCCTATAAATACTCTGTGTTCTGGTATGCAATTAATTTATTCACAAAGTTTTATCTTCTCAGTTTTTCTAGGTAGACTGAGAGTAGCTTCTAAATAAGTCTCCTTTTTGTCTATTTCTTTGATTCACTATTAAATTAAAAATCTTCTAGGTGGTTGTATTAGTTTCCTGTGGGCTGCTATAACAAAAGTGGCTAAAACAATAGAAATTTGCCACATATGGTGACATATACCTATAATCCCAGCTATTCAGGAGGCAGAGGCAAGAGGGATTACAAATATGCTGCCAGCTTTGGCAACTTCACAAGATTAAAAATAATAATAATAATAATAATAATAATAATAATAATAGGAGGGGGGTTGTGGCTCAGTGGTAGAGCACCTCTGAGTTCAGGTCCCTATTTGTGCCAAAAAATATGTTGATGGTGGTGGTGATGATGATGATAAAATAAAACAATAGAAATTTATTTTCTCACAGTTTTGGATATTAGAAATCCAAAATTAAAGTATCAGTAGTACCCTGCCCTCTTGGATTCCTGTAAAGGAATTTTTCCTTGTTTCTTTTAGTTTCTGGTGGTTTGTTAGCAATCTTTGGGATTCTTTGTCTTGTTGATGTATAAATCCAATATTCCATTTTCATATGTTTATTATTCCTGTATTTCATCATTTCATTTTTCCTCTGTGTGTGTCTGTCTCCTTTTTACAAGGACATATATATTGGATTAGGGCCTACCCTAATGAGCTCATTTAACTTTATTACTTCTATAAATAATTTATTCCAAGTAAGGCCACATTCTGAGGTACTAGGGGTTCATATTTCAGTAAACCTTTATTTGGGGTAGGGGGAGGAAGGACAATTCAATCCAAAACAGTACTGTATCCAAATTCAATAAATGATGACGTTTTTCACTCTGGCACCTCAGAACAGGAGCTATTGCCTGCCTTGTGTGAGCACCCTGAATTGTTCTCTCTAATCCTTTTGGATGGTTCTCTCCCCAGCCTTGTATAGTTGCCTCCTATGTATGTGCTTATCAGTACTCAGATGAAGATTCACAAGGATCCTTGCAAATTTCCAGAGTTCTTTCTGGATAGCCTCCAGACCTCTAGTACTCTGTCCTGAAAGCTCTAGCTGTGTTGGCCTCCTTGGATTTCTAGCTTCATCTCAGCTTAGCTTCACTGTTGAACTTTAGCCAGATTTCTGTTCCCTTCTGCAACCTGAAAAGTCCCTTCAGGAAGTAAATTGGAGAACTTAAGGGCTTACCTCATTTAGTTCCCATTGCTCATGAATCACTTGTTCTTTACTTCATGTCCAATGTTTCGGACATAGTCCCTCTCTCCTGCTCCTCCCATATGTTTGTCTGGTGTTTTCAGTCATTGCACGCTTTTCTAGCCTGTATCTAGGTTCCTGATTGTTAGGAGAAAAGAATTATACAAGAGTATATTTTGGTTCTTGAATAAACCCATAGATTTCAAGATTAACTTGGTCCTTAGTGGTGCTTGCTAGTAATTGTGTTTTCTTATCAGCCTTTTCTCTCTTATTCTCCAGACTATCTGATTAGTGTCTTCTCACTCTCCTTAAACCTCTTTCACCCATGTCACTTGGTTGATGATCTTGCCTCCTAATTCACAGAGAAAATAAAAACCTTCTGCTGGGAAATTCCTCTACTTTTGTGAACCAGTCTATCAGTGAGCATTCTTTGGCATACATGCTTTCTACTTCCCAGTTTCCTTTTTGCAGTAGTGTAGATATAATTTTCCTTACATCTTGGACTAATTTTAATTCCTACATCTGTTGTCAGTAATCTTTTCTTTCCTCTTTGGGAGCTTTGCTCAATTGATTTCATTCTCTCTCTCCTGAGTCTTGAAACCCTTTTTGATGTCTTCTTTACAATTAGTGTTGAAATATTCAAATGTTGTTAGTCTTTCAAGGAAAATCTCTACTTTGATCCTGCTTCTCCCTGTCCTTTCCTCTCCTATGTGGTTATCACCTTCTCTCAAAGCCAGACTTCTTAAACTGGTGATCTGTATTTGTTTCTTTTATGCCCATTTATTTTTTCACCAACTGCCTGACTCCAGAGTCCTTTATTCTCCTGAAACCAATTGCCATGGTTGCCTCACTTCCTTTTTTTGCTCTTCTCAAAATTATCTCCAGATCATTGTTTTCTGTAGTCAGTTAAAAAAAAAATTAGTTGCATAAAATCATAAGATAAATTTGTTAAAAATACAGGTTCTTGAGACATGGCCCCTGGAGATTATGATTTAGTAGGGCTAAGAATACTATATTTCACAGAATTTAATGCTGTTTTTTATTTAGCCTAATTTTTCTTGGGTTTCATTTGATAGCTTTAACTCTCTCTTGAAACATTTTTTTCCTTGACTTGCTTGGCAGCATATTTCCCATTCTTCTCCCATCCCCATCACTGCCTCTTCTTACCACACATGCTTCTTTCCCATTCTTCCTTAGTTACCATTCAAAAATCTTGTTCCCTGAAAAATTGATGTTCTTCAGGGTTATTTTCTGCACTACCTCTTATCACCCATGCCTCTTTGATAATCTCAGTCATTATCGCCTTTAAAATGATCTTTCTCAGATCTCTGTGTCTCCATTCATCTCTTTCCTTAGCCTCACATTTTTGTATTCAGCAACCTCAAATGTCCCATAAATAATTTAAGCTCAGTATGTTCAAAATAAAACTCTTCTCTCTACCTGCGAATACATAGTTTTCCTCCTTTTTTTTTTTCTATTTCAAGTCATATCCATCTGTATACTCAAGCCCCAAAGAGGAAAGAAACATTCTTTTTTCCCTTTCCCTCATAATTACAAATGCATTTTTGATTTAGCATTCCCCCTTCAGGCAATTTATGCTATAGACATACCTGCATTTACCCAAAGTTGTGATGTGCAAGATTTTTCATTGCAGTGTATCTTGAAATAAAAGATTAGGAAGAATCAAAATACCCATCTATAGGGGAGTGAACAGATTAAACTGGTACACCCATCCATTGGAGTGCTATCATGGGGCTACAAAAATGATTGAGAAAGCTGTCTATGTACTGAGAAGATCTCAAGGTTATAGTATTAAATGAAAAAGTAAGAAACAGAATGGGAGATATATGCTATCTTTTATGTAATAAATGGAGAGAAACAAATATTTGAATGATGCATAAGAAATGTATGAACCATGTTACTATTAAAATTTTTTAAATTATGAAATGGAAAGCTTCCTATATGATGCTTTTTAATTCAAGCTAATCTTTTAGACTAAGTTTTCAGCTAATTTGAGAGCATGTTCTAAATCAATATTGTGTATTTTTAGGTTTTGGCAATCAGAAATATCTTGTTTTCCCTTTTGATGACATTTCAGTTTTATCTCGTGTCTTACTTTGCTTAGATGTAACAACTATGACTTTACTGTTTCCTCTATTATAGGTAGTATCTCAGTTCAAAACCGCTTGAGGTGTGTTTGAAATTGACTTCCCTTACTCCTATAGTGATGTCTGATGTTTTCTTTTCTTGGCTTTTGGTTTCAGGAGTGATTTTTTTCTTTCATATGATAGTGTAACATTATAGATTATTCAACCATCTTGTATATCTGTTTAAAGCCCGTCTCCAGAATTAGAAAGGAAGTGCAATTATATATTTATTTGCAAGGACTTTGGACCATTGGTACTCTTTCACTATTAATAAAAGTCTGGAAACTCAAAATTTACATAGTTGGAATAATTATTTACAACTAACATCAATTAATATGCCTTTCTTCTGTTTTACATTCACTTTGAGGAGCCTTTTATAGAAGGGCAGAATCAATAGGATTCAATCATAATAATCAGGTAGCTTATTATGATTCATAAACTTAATATGTATGGTAGTTGGAAATTTGTGTGCGTTTTTAGTATGTTTTCAAAACTAAATTACCAAGATAACTTAAAAAATACAAAATGCTAGAGTTTTGTTATACTGCTTTTTAATGTTGCTTTTATTTTTGGAATATTAAAAGTTGGCTATGATAATACTTAACATTTAAAAACAAAAACATAGTTCTTTATTTCACTCTGAAAACCAATCACAACTTTCTCTGATTTGTTTTTTTAAAGGTGTTCTTAAGGATTATTTAAGAGAACTTCCCTCTCCTCTGATAACAAAGCAGCTTTATGAGGCTGTATTAGATGCAATGGTAAAAAGTCCTTTGAAAATGTCATCAAATGGTTGTGAAAATGACCCAGGTGATTCTAAGTTCACTGTTGACCTGTTGAATTGTCTGCCAGGTGTTGAGAAGGTAATGTAATTGGTATGCATTTTTCCCAAATCCAGCTAATGAATTATGTGCTTAGCTCTAAGAACTACATTTTCACGTCTTTAATATTTGTGGCAGTTAAGTATTTAAGCTCTGTCTTTATTGCTTTTTAAACAGCATAAATCTGGAAATCAGTTTTACAGTTTCTGTATTTGACTTTAATCTAGGCATGAATATGCCTTTTAAGCTTTTAAAATGTATTGTTATCTTATTATTAAAATAATACGTTTATCTGAGAAAATATAGAAAATGTAAAATTACCAATATCCAAAGGCAAATATAACTGATATTTTGATGTGTTTTCTTTTAATATTTTTTAAATTTGACAACCATTTTTGTGTATATGGCTTAGTCTTAAGACTTATGCACTCTGCCCACACCTCTGCTTCTTTTCTCCTTGCCTCGTGCCATTTACTCTTCCCCCACATCTAATCTCAACACCAGCATCTTCAGGTTTACTTGCAGGAGGAACAGAAGGATGACTGGTCTGCAGAACCAGCCTAAGCCTGACTTTAGAGGCTGTTACTGAGAATAAAGGGAAAATGAGAGAAAGATGTGGTTGGGCTTGACCAGAGGAGGCCAACTTTGTTTGCATTTCTTATTGTATAGGGGTAGAAAGTGCAAGATGAGTGGGTAGAAACTTTGAGCCCAGTAACTTTATTCACTAGTTATTTGTCCCAGAAATGTCCAGTGTTCTCTCCAATACACTCCTCCTTTGCATGAGGGAGAGGAACCTCTAAAGAGTGCAGAAGCTGAGGGTGGGGTGTAGTAGGAGGAGACAATTGAAGAGGTGGAAGTAATCCCTCCTAACATTAGGTAAAATTATAAATGCCACTTTTGAGTGAAGAAATGAGTGTCAGGAATTTAAATCACATGACCAGAATTACATAATTTAGTGATTGTTTTTAGTCTGTTGCATGAATTTACCCATGCTATTAACATCCTTTCTAAAGAGGCTGCATACTGTCCCATTGAGTGGATGTGACCTAATTTATCACAATTTTATTTTATATAATGTTTATGTTTTGAACCTAGTTATTTTTTCAATGTAATTTATAAGAAATTACAACTGATTTTGTAATACTTCAAAAAACATTATTACTTTCCCTAAGTACATAAACTCAAATAAATATTCCACTTCTTGACCCAGTTCTATTTATGCGTTTCCTTAAGGATTAAAATATTTTTTTCCTGTAAATTTTTATTTTACTTCTAACTTTCCTTTTTCCATCTTTTATCTGCTTAATATTTATTAGTTAAGAAACACATTGATCTTTAAAAAATCTGCATCATGGTAGACTCTGGCTATGCTCTGAAATAGTAAAGCTTCTTAAGTATGGTAGGCCTGTATTTATAACTATAGGATTTATCTATACTTTAAAAATGAACTTTCCTTTCCATTATACCTTTTGCTGTTATCTTTTAGAGAGGGTAGAGAGGAAGAGTTGATGATGCATTATCCCAGGGACTCCAGTTGAAATTTGGAATACATTCAGAAGCATTTTATGGAGTATTATTAGAATCATTTAATGGATTAAATCATGTTGTTAGAATATTATCTGGACCCCTTTGTAATGTTTCTGTTAGAAAACATGTTCAGGTTCCTGATATCCAACTTACGAATAAGCCTTTGAAACAAACTTTTAAAAGTAACAAGATGCATACCTATATTTTGCCATAAATTGTATCCTTGGATTTGTGTCTATATGAATATATTAAGTGAAATTTCATTTGATTTAATTTAGGCAACCCTAAAGATGTTGTTGGATCATTTGAAATTGGTAGCTTCTCATCATGAAGTAAATAAGATGACCTGCCAGAATTTGGCCGTGTGCTTCGGACCAGTATTATTAAGTCAGAGGCAAGAGACTTCCACCCATAACAACAGAGTCTTTACTGATTCAGAAGAACTTGCAAGCGCTTTGAATTTTAAAAAACATATTGAAGTTCTTCATTATTTACTCCAACTCTGGCCAGGTAAATGATTCTATGGAAATATTCTTATTTTTCAATGATGGGGGTGAATTAGCTAATCATAAAATATTCCCATGTATGATTGAAGATAATATTTTTTAGCTTTGCTTTTTAATATATTTATAAATTGATACCTCTCCTTCAGATTTTTCTATGTATATTTTGTGCCTTTTCTGATAATATTGGAAACGTGGGACAGTGTACACATTTTGGATTTGGTCAGATCTGGATCTGAATCCTGGTTGTGCCACTTATTAGCACTTTGACCTTAACATCAGTATCATCTTTTGTTACAGACTTTATATGAGGACAGCTTTTGGCACATAATACTTAATGTTAATTTATTTACTCTTCTCATTTTAAGTTCAACTGTTATGAAGCAAAATTTATTTTTCTTCTTAAATCCATTCATTCGTCTTCCTGACATCTTTACTGTATTCATGATTGTTTTTCAGATTATCCCAAGTTGACATGGCATTTACCCTTGATCTTTTTTTTTTTTTTAATATTTTTTTAGTTGTAGATGGACTCAATACCTTTATTTTAATTGTTTTTATTTTTGTGTGGTGCTGAGAATTGAACCCAGTGCCTCATATGTGTGAGGCATGTGCTCTGCCACTGAGCCACAATCCCAGTACTTAAGTACTTGGTCATTTCATTTTGAATAACATGGTGAATAAAAACAAATTAAGTTTCTTAAGTAATTAGTCATTTCATTTTGAAGGTTTTTCAGCAACCTTATTAGACTGCATTTCTTATTTCATTCCATTGAAAGTGAGTAGTCAACAGTAATAAGAAAGAACTTTTCTTTTAGGGTTAAAATTAGCCATTTTCTTTGCATCAACAAAGAAAACATTCTAGCATCATCACTTTAAAAAAGGCAATGTCATTGATTTTTTAGAAATTGAATTTTTAGTCTAAAAGATATAAAGTATTGATTTAATTGGTTTCCTAAATACTATTCAGAATGCAAAGATAATGTTGGAATAGCATCTTGGCTAAAAAACGGCGTTAAGAGACTGGCAACAAAAGAAATCTGGATTTTGCAGGTGAATGTCAGAAAATACAGGCATAATGAAAGCTTAAGACACAAGAATCAAAAGATGTGTGGTTGGATCAGACCAGATGAGCCCAAGGTTAGCAGTGTTCTGTTAATTTGGTGGCAAAAACAACAGTCATAGCAGTTTAACACTAAGAACAAGTAGAACACAGAGAAAGGGGAAAAAAGGAGACAGTGGAGATAAGTAGCCAGAGGAGAAAAAGGAATATGAATAATTAAACAGTGGAAAAATTTAGATAGCCTTTCTGCATTTGAATCAATTAATGGCATGGAACATTTTATATTGATACTTACATGAAAGATCACTTAAAATAAATATCTCACCTTTATTTTCTTGAAAATTTTTATCAAGAACTTAGTTATCTATAAATAATATATAATAATAATTGTCATAAAAATGAAGTATATAGGACTGGGGATGTAACTCAGTAGTACAGTAGTTGTCTAGCATGTGCAAGTCTCTGGGTTCAGTGCCCAATACTGCCAAAAAAAAAAAAAATTGCAATACATCGACATTTTTAAAACATGACACACAATTAAGTATCCTAATAGAATGTAAGTAAAATATTATGTGCTGTCTGAAAAATATTATATCACTCTAAGTCTGGAAAACTAGAACCATATATGTTTTTGTAGTTTTTCTTATTTTGTACAATAGTAAACAAGCATGATTATATGTTGTAAGATTGGTATGTTATCACTGATTTACATGCTCTTTATCTTAAGGAAGTATATAAGGAGAAGCAGATATTAATAAAATAAATAAGCAGAAAAAAGAAAGTATGGATGATCTTTAGTAGCTATGTCTCAGTCTTATGAATTAAGTCAATTTTATATACAGAAGAGCCTTAGACATATATTTTGTGTAGTATAAATGAGTAAGCAACGAAGCCTTAATTTATTATTAAATAATGTGTGTATCTATAGTGATCTTCTATGTGGCCAGTACGATACCAGAAGATATGATACGTCTTATCTCAAAAGAAAATAATCAGGGGCTGGGGTTGTGGCTCAGGGTAGAGCGCTTGCCTAGTGCATGTATGGCAGTGGGTTTGCTCCTCAGCACTACATAAAAATAAATAAAATAAAGATATTGTGTCCATCTACAACTAAAAAAATATATATATTAAAAAAAATAGTCTTAGAAAGAGGAATGTTATTTGGGCTTGCTAAATATCTAACCAGAATGGGAAAAATGAAAATATTTGTACTATTTCCAGGCAATAAAGGAAGACTGTTAGTAGCTAATGCTGTATAATCGAACTCAGGTAACAAATGGTCAAGTCTAGTATTCCTGCATTTTATCAAAGCAAATTTTGGGCTGCTTAGTAAATTATGACACTGTTGCTAATTGCAGAAGAGCCCACTAAAGTCAGGACTTTTAGAGTAATCACTTTAGATGCCTTGCCTCATTATGTTTGCAGACAAAGGAACTTTTTGTTTTGTTTTGTTTGTACACCCACTTGCCTTGCCTGCTTTTTGCTGTAGCCTTTAATTTAGAAGCTACCAGCTTAGCTACTGTTTGAATTATAGCTAGATAATAATTAACTTGCACCAAAAGTTAATCAACATTGGAAATTTAATTTATTTGAGGACATTATGATATAGCATGAATTAGCACCACCGAACATTCCACTAGCTTCTGTTCCTAATTTTGATGATGTCTGATGATAGAAAAAAATAATTATGGTATGCTTACTTTTGATAGTGTGCATGTTTTTGTTTTAATGCATGTTTTTAGTTGATTATTAAATGGCTTATCTTTATTTAGCTCTGTTTTTTTAAGACCAGTTGGATTGCTGTCACTAAAACAAATTTATTGTTCATTTCTAGTGCAACGTTTAACTGTCAGAGAATCAACAGACAGTTTGTTCCCAGAGCAGTTGTCCTCTCTGAATTATTTGAGGCGGAAGAAAGAACGACCTCACATGTTAAATTTGAATAGTATTGATTCATCAGGAGTACTTAGACCAAGGCAGACCAGATTAGACAGTCCACTTAGCAATCGTTATGCAGGAGACTGGAGCAGCTGTGGAGAAAACTACTCTTTAAATACAAAAGAAAATTTAAATGATGTGGATTATGATGATGTACCTTCAGAAGACAGAGAAAATGGAGAAGATTATAGCAAAATGAATGGACCAGAAATAATGATTGAACAGCCACTTCCTATGTCCAAAGAGTGCACATTCCAGACATACTTGACAATGCAGACCATTGAGTCTACAGTGGATCGAAAAGTTAATCTCAAAGATCTACAAGAAAGCATTGATACTTTGATTGGCAATCTGGAGCGTGAGCTCAACAAAAACAAGCTTAATCTGAGTGTTTAAGATTGAAAGGTTTAATTTGGTTTTTAATAATGTCTTAAAGTTTCAAATGAGTTCTTTTCATGTTCTTATACCTCACAGTGTTGCTTTTTAAATATTTTTTACTCTTAAAACCTTTGAATAATATCTAATAAGTTCATGTGATTCAGTTAAAGATAATTCATTAATATAATCTTTTTTTGGGGGGAAGAAGTAAGAATTTAATAATATTTTAAATAAGATTAGTATTTCTTCATTGAATTCAGTCATTTTTCTCCCATATCACACTGTATACAACTGCAGTAGTTATGACTCATTTTTATCAACCTAGATGTATCACATATCTAATTATTTGATTCCTAAAATATTTTAAAAGAACACATGCAAGCATAATTTGAAAGGCATTTTAAGTGAGTTTCCTCTATTTATAATGCATCTCTCTTCACATTTTTTTTGGCCAGATCTTCCCATTATTTATAAGAGCTAGTTGCTAAACTAACATTTAGTGCTTTTTCCACCATACCCCTTTATTCTATAATTTCAGTATTTCTCTAAAAGATGAAACTGTAGGAAAAAAGAAAATCAAACCTCAAGGACCAACATTTCTATATGCTGTGTTTTCTCATTTTAGTTTTAACTAATGTGGTAGGTTTTATTTTCCCTCAAAATATTATACAATCATAATTATATTCAAAATTGATGGAATCTTACAGTCAAGCAAGATACAGAATATGGAATGGTATTTATGAATAAGGACAATCAGGTAATATTCTTAAGTATAATTAAAGATATAAGGGAAATACTATTCATGATTTAATCCAAGACCATGAAGGTGAAAAGGCATGACCTAACATGAAATGCATACTGAGTTCATTTGCAGCATTAAACCAAATCCAAGAAAACTGGTTATATCCCAATTCCTTTAGGAAATCTAACTATACTGAAGTAATTTTGATCAATGAAGTTTATTTTAAAGCAATAATCATTGCTGTAAAGCTCTGAAGGTAAATTTGTGAAATGCATTTTCTTTGGCAGTTTAACTGATTTTTCTTTGAATGGAGGCCCATTGAGTATTACACAACTAAGAAAAGGCATATTAAATGTTCTTGGACCACATTTTAAATTTTTTGAAAAGCTACAAGGGAAAGCCAACAATATCATTCAGTTTATTTAAGATTTAATTATATCTTTAATTATATTTAAGAATATTATCTGATTGTCTGTATTCATAAATACCATTTCATAGACGTGTATTTCACTTGATTGTAAGATTCCATTAATTTTGAATGTAATTATGATTGTATAATATTTGGGGGGAAATATATTTTTGCTTTATCTCTTTAGAAAATTTCTGGGGATAAAGAGAACTTGGATTTTTTTTTGATATTTTAATAAACCTTTTCAGTTATATGGAGGTAATTTTCAAATGCACTTACAAAATCATGTAGGTTATTAGCTCCTCAAGGTTTTTGTACTGTATAGGAATTACTCCTCTGTAGTTGGGGCAGATGTTCCTTTAGAGGAACATGCAGCTGCTCAGTCTGATTTGCAGTAAGAATCTTGTACACTGTAACATCATTTGTTCACATTTCATTTGCAATGCAAATGCTGCTATATATAAAACCTTTTTATAAATAAAATTATACAAATATTAATGTATCTGTATTAACATTCAGTAATTATTTAAGCTTACAAAAATATTTTTATAATCTTGAAAATGTGTATATACCTATAAGAACTTATATGTGTAGGTATTAGTTTGGGGGAAGTGGTTGACAGTAGAATCACATGTATTTTTTGAGATATATATGTTGTGAGGCCAAAATTATTAGTTAAAAAATGTCTTTCAGGGAAAGGACATTTAAGTTCTTCAAGGAGGGATTACATAAAAACACTTGAATTAAAAACATTTTAGAAGCACCTGAATAGAAATAATAGACTTTCCTCTTTTGATTCATAGATGGTCACAATATCTTTGTGAAGTCACCTTTTCAATTGAGTCTTTCAGCTTCTTGAGGGATTAAGTGCTCAGATTTCTGTATTAGTGACAAATTAAGAAAAATCTTCACCTATTCTATGCATTTTTGTATTCTGTAATGTTTTAAGTATTTATTTGTAATAATAAACTTATAATATTGACTTTATAATTACCCCCATTTGTTTCTAATGAAATTGTCTTGCCACCATACGACATGTTATTGATTTTTAGAAGTTAACTTATTTTGGCTAAGTGTATCTACAAACCAGTTTTATAGTAATCATAGTAGTGTTTGACATGTTGACTTAGAAGGCTTTTTAAAATTAAATTGGAATGTATTTTTTTAAACTTTTATACCTACAGAATGTATAATTTTAGATTTATAAATAAAATTTGAAATCTCAGCTTTAAGATTTAGCAGCCATTAAAAACTGGCTTCCTAATGTTTTTCTAAACATTAAAAGTATTTTACTATCTCTATGCAATATACATTGGTAAACAGAACACCTTTTTATTTACTTTGAAATCCCACTAAAAATGATAATTATTTTTTTATGAAATTTTCATTTTTTAAAGCTTTGTATAACAGTTTAGAATACCAAAATAATATGTGGCAGGTATATGTCATGAGTAAACAGAGGAAAGTACTTTGAAATGTTTTCCAGGGAGACTCTGTTTTCTTCCTTTTGTTTGCTATGTCATGTATATTTATGAACTGGTATATTGTATGAACTGAATAAGTTTCAGAATGTAAAAAATTTTATTAAAAGATTATAACCCTAGTATCATTCTTTTAATTATCATAATGATTTTAATGATAGCCTATTTAATATTATTTTTAAAGGTATTGTCCATAATTATATGGAATGACATTTATTTATCCAAAATTGAATTTTCTAGAATCTGAAATACTTTAAGATATTATTTCACTTTGGATGAGAATAGTTTTAAAGTTAGTCTCTGTCACCTTAAATGGAGAATTCTCAACATTTTTTTGTTTCTGAGTCATAACTATAGACTTATATTTTTATCTCTTTTGCTTCTAGAAGTGCTGAATAAGCTTAACTGCCTTTACTTTAAATCTTTTTTCAGTGTTTATACCTGCTTTTTGTAATTTCCTGGGATCTGCCTATACAGACTGTCAACTATAATTCCTTTCTGAGCCTACTGGATCTGATGTTTTTGAGGATTAAAAACAATTTTAACTTTAGTGCATGTACCTGAGTAAAAATTTTAAACAATTCAGACAGAAAATAAAAAGTATAAGAAAGAGTTCCTTTCTGCTGTCCTCACCAATCCCTTTCTCAGAGCTAACAGCATGTTTGTTGCTGCTGTTCCTTGATTTATCATTTAAAAGTGTCTGTTGATTGTTTGCTGTGATGATAAGCAATTTATCTTTATTTCTCCTTACTATTAGTTACGTTTTTGATTCTTTTTTTTTTTTTTTTTTTGGTTTCCTTTATTCCTTTAATAATCTTTATTTCTCAGTCCATCAATTTTAAACAGTCTCATGACTCCCTACCAATTGAAGAACTGGTCAACAACTCTGGCTTCCTTTCCAACTTATTATGACCTTTTACCTCCTGACTTCTATAAATTATGCTATTAATTTATATAATCAGTATTAATAGATGTTTATTATTTTGAAGTTCTATATTTGACCTATGTTTTTCCTTTATATATTGATCCTAAAAACTGCAGATCTGTAACTAGTTTGTGCTAGAGTATGTGAAGGTATTCATTCACAGGCAAAATTTTATATCTTTAAGTCTGTATTGATTGAAATAAAATGCTCCAAGCATAAGGGGATGGATTCTTTTCTCTCATACCCTTAACACTCTAAAACATACTGTATGTTATTCACTTCAATAATTGGGCCATAGCTTTTGCAGATTTTAATTTTTTCTTGGAGTATTTAATTTATTTAAATTTTGACAGATGATAAATAATTTTACTATAACTGTCTTAATAATACTGTGAATTACCAAATTTGTTCAGTGGTTTTAGTTCTTGTCCTGGGATTCCTGAAGTATATTTTTGTCTGTACTTTTCTTTGACAGAATAAAAATGCCTATTCCTTGATTTATCATTTAACTCAGTATATTTTCTGTAACTCAGATCATTTTATGCTTCTTAATCAACTTTATCAAATTTGTGCAAAAGTTATTTTTAACTACCATTTTGGAATGTATTATTCTTTCTTTTTTAGTTGTAGTTGGATACAATATCTTTATTTTATTTATTTATTTTTATGTGATGCTGAGGATTGAACCTAGCGCCTCTCATGTGCTAGCGCTGAACCATAACCCCAGTCCTGGAATATATTTTTTTGGATCCCACTTTTTTCTTGAATTTGTTTTGTTGTTGTTTGTTGTATCTGTTTTCTGAAGTATATTTGCAAGTGCCCTTTTTTATCCCCCCAAATAAGACTACCTGGAAGATAAACTTTTCATCTTTTTAGGTCTGACTAGGACTTTATTTCTTTCCCATGCTTCATTATGATTGGTTTGGTAATCCTACATTGAAATTCATTGTTTAGAATTTTGAAGGCATTTCACTATTATTTCCAAGCATCTGGTTTGCAGTAATCTAGGATAGATCAAAGAAGAAGCAATAGAGGTAGTGAGGAATGGTTGGATAATGGATATATCTTGCAGTAGGAGTCAAAAGAATCTGCCTGTAAGCCATGTAAGGAGTAAGGCCCAAGCAGCTGAAGAAATTGCCATCAAATGAGATTGAAATGACTAACTCATATTTTTAAAATGAGTTCCTTGTAATAGACATTATTAATGCAACAGTTATCAAAATGCTTTATGATGTTCTGTTAACTAATAACACTAGTGCTTCTGTATCTAGTGATGATGCTTGTAAAGTCATAGCTACAATCAGAAAGCAAAAACACTTCCTTGCATATCTACCTAAGTAGTACCACTTACCACATATTAACAATCTTTGGAAGTTTTCAGATTGTCTAGTTTTATTTTAGGGAACCAAAAGAAATAGGTCTGGGTAGTGTTATGGTTCCTGAAAGGAATTTAGTTTCCAGACCACAGGATGATGTTGAGGATTAGGATTATATAATTTAAGAACATTAGGTACTTTGATAAGATAAAGTTTTATTGTTTAAGAATAACAAATCCTAGGGCTGGGGATGTGGCTCAGTGGTAGAGCACTTGCATTTTCCCTAGCATGCATCAGTTCTGAGTTCAATCTCTAGTATGGCGGGGGCAGTGCGGGGGGAGGGGATGACAAGTTCTAATTTGAATCTTGCTTGACCTCAGAACTTTGGTATAAGAAATACTCTTTTGCCCTTTTTCTTGCTGAGTTTTCATTTTGAATCCATTAAGCTTCACATTTGATGATATTTGAATGCCAGGGTTTTAATGTCAGTATGTTTAGTTGCATTCTGACTTAGCCAAAAACTGACTAGCAGAAATGGAATTTATTGAAAAAATAATACGCCAGAGAGAAGACTATTTTAGGGTGCTGAAATATTTTATATCTTGATCTAGGTGATTATATCTTAATCACAGGTGACTGTGTATCAGGTTGCATACTTAAGATTTGTGACCTTTATAAGTCTCATCAATTTTTTTAAAGCACACTTTTTAAAAATTGGCAAGCTGAAGACATAGACTTGAAAGATAGGCAGAAACTAAAAGAAGTTAAGTAGTCAAAATGACAGCAATCAAGGTCATGCCTGGTTGTGGTACTGCCATTTTTATTACCACCACACAGCCCCCAGATCATCATTGGAATTAATTATAAAATATCCTGTTCTCAGCATAATCCCTGATTCAGGATCCCTGGCAGAAAGCTGTAGATGGTGTACCAATTTCTAGGCGTTAGTAATTGGCTTTCATTCTTTCCCTAAAATTTATACAGTCAGTGGTAGATTCTGTGACTACAAGAAAGGCATTTGCTGGGAGGCAAAAGTGTCAAATGTCCACAATACTTCCCTAAACTTTATCTTTCCCTGTTGCCTAAATTGAAGTCTTTCCCACTTACTTCCATATCCTACCGATCAAACGTCTGAGTACTGTATGTCTTGACCCTACACTTCAGTTTGCTCTATTACTTCAAGCTGCCATTATGCCAATCTCTTATCATCACCTTTGCAATCAGAGATATCTCCTTTCTCCATTCCCACAGTCCATCCTATTAATAGAAGCTAAAGTGATATAAAAAAATGGACCATTTCATTCCCTAGGCCTTCTACTTTGCTCTCTCTGCTCTAGCAGGAGGATCACAAATTCAAAGCCAGCCTCAGCAATGGGGAGGTGCTAAGCAACTCGGTGAGATCCTGTCTCTAAATAAAACACAAAATAGGGCGGGGATGTGGCTTAGTGGTCAAGTGACTTGGGTTCAATCCCTGATACCACCTGCCAAAGGCTGTCTCTGAAAAGTCTATTGGTACTGAGATTTTTGGGAAAAGTAGATGGAGATTTCTGTTTCTCATAGCAAGTACTAATCATAATACTATTTGATTAAATTATAGGCATTTATAAACTTGGCAAATATTTACACTTAAACGAAATTTTAGAAGAAAAAAATTATCAATACCATTTGTCATTGTTTGTCATATCACCTTGGCTTATTTTCATCAAGATGTTTACTTCTGAAGTTACCTTGTTTTTATTTGTTTATATTCCCTCTTTTAGAATGTAAACCCCAGTATAGCAGTAGGGACTTTGTATATGCAGTTTATTGCTGTATGACTAGGGACTGTAGCACAGAAGATCTTAAATTAATTATTAATAAATGAATGACTATAAAGGGACACTTGGAGAGTACTTGTATTTTTCTTAGGGAAGGGCTAAGGACTATAAGATGCAATGTTCATATAATTTTAAAAAACTCACTCCTGAATAATTATTTGTGGTTAAGAAAGTAATGTTATCTCTTTTCTCTCCCCCCCCCCATTTCCCCCTTAATGACTTCATTTTTTAATTTTTATTTTTTGGAATTAGACTGGTTTTGTAAAATTGGCGAATTTAAAAGTGGATTGGTAAATTTTGAATAATTTTTTCTAGTAAATTTTTGATACACTATCGAGTAGAAGCAGTTTTTAAGTGATACCTATGTGAAAAGATACATCTTCCAATAAAAAGGAAGATTTTGAAGAAATAGCTTATTAAAATTCATCATTTGTTTCTTTAAAGAAATTTGTTAGCAAAATATGTCCTTAATTAATTTTGGTCTCATTTACTTGAGTATACACTTTTTCTAGAAGTGGAAAAACCTGTTTTTCATTTTATTAAAAGAATATTTTTATAAGCTTGAATGAACCCTATAAATAGACTTCTTTATTAGAATACCAAAGAAACCACTTTTGGGAACCAGTACTATATTAAATTTTTTTCTTTTTTCTCAATGTCAAATGTTTTTTTAAGCATGTTAGAAAAATGCTTCAATATTGCCACTGGGTTGGGTTGACTTTGTCCTTGTTTGTTTGATAAGACCATTTAACATGCTTTTTAAATGTTTTGGATTAACCTTGCTTTTTTTGCTTAAAGGAAATATAGATAGAGGGAAAGTTTGTTATGCAATATTCTACATACTTCTTTGGAAATTCCATTCCTCAAAATAAACTTCTCCCTGGGGAGTTTAAAATTCCAACTTTAGAAAAGTACAGTTGATATTAAATCAAGAAAGAAGAAAGTCCTTTTCATTCAAGATGTTTTTTTTTTTTTTTTGTGAAAGTTATGAGATGGCATGCTGCACTGCAGCTCAGCTTTTTTTTTTTTTTTTTTACACTGTAGATATTGAACAGTGACCCCTT